TCTTAACTCCTTTTCTGAAAAAGCCTGTCCAATATCAGAGTTACTATTCCCAAAGGGAATCTTGGATGGATAAGCCACGTTCATTGACCCCTCCTCCTTTACCACCAAAGCCTATTGCGTTAATGAATAGCTTTGAGAGATATACTATGCGACGTAATGCAAGTGCACCAGAGATTTCAGCCTATAGATTTAAGAGAAGCCAGGTCTTGATTGATGCTGAGGAATATTTTAATTCTGTGCGAAATAATGCGAAAATAAACTTAATATCTTTTGATTGAATAATATCATTATTTATCTCAACTGAAAGTGTGATATATGAATTATTCATAACATTTTTTTTTGTGAAATAAATAGCTATATAATCTGCATACATGATCGCCTAGTATAATTGTGAAATGTACCACCTGCGGGATAAAAAACCTGATTTGCCTATTCCAGATTAGATCCTCCAATATACTATATAACTATTTTAGTAAAGTATTTCAGGAAGATCTATGAAGCGGTCTTAGGGATTTTTGATTGCGAGACAATATAACTATCAGTTTGAGAATTTCTATGCAACAATTATCCAGCAAGCTTATAGGAATTACAAGAAAAGACCCAAATCTTTAGCAAAATAGGTTTGGAAGGCAGTGAGAAATGATAGGACTTCTGGCAGATGGAAGTATTTAGGTATTATTTCTCGTAATGAGTATTATTATTATATTAATAGAGAACTAATAAAATTTAACCAGAAATCTGATTATTTTAACATGTTATATAATCATACCCTTTATTCTGCTAGAACTTGAATAGAAGAGAAACGAAATCAATTAGCATACCGATTACAATAGATAACTTTTGAACATGCTAGAATATTATTAGAACAAAAAGGTTACGTTCTTCTTTCTGATAAAAATTGGATAGATTGGTCTACCATGTTAAAATGGATACAGAATCCCAAATATTATCAAAATACTGAAGAAAATCTCATTAGTAGATAGTTTGTCAGAAGAAATATGTTGGGACCATATGATGTAAAGATCCATACCGTGATGTTCAAAGACTGGTGGTATAAAGATAAAGCATGGTTAGAACGTTCTCAAAAAATTGACATAAGCACATTCAGTATATTTTTATAGGCAGTACTAATCAATATTGGGAAAAGATCAGTTAGATACAGTTTCCCTGCCAGTCAGGCTCATCAGCCTGTAAAATGAATATGATTGAAGTTATTTTTTTTTCCTTGTCTTAATAAAATAATATATTGTCCAGCTATGCGACGCGCCTCATGGCTAATGCATGTAGGCATGTGTAATATAAATTTTTGATCCATCTAGTGAAATGTATTACCTGCAGTTTTATGCAGAATAAAGATTATGATCTGCCTATTCTAGATTAACTCCTGAGTAACGTAATGCTAATCATACTAAAATAGTAATATGCCAATTTATAATACCTGCATTATTACAAAACATAAGTATACGCGTCTCTTGCTAAAAAATAAACTTTAGCACGTCTCTTCTTATTTATAAAGGCTGTAAATTATAGAGGGTAAGTTCGATATACGTGTTTCTTATTTTTCCATTTTTTACTTCTAACAGCTAATAAATCATATCTACTTCTACAACTTTTTCAAACTGCTTCTCTTTGGTCGAAAACTAGGATACTGAGACTCTTATTATTTTCTTATGTAACCTGGACATAAATCTTGATGAGGATGATTTCAAGATCCTTCGTAAGCAGAAAATAGATGGCCAAACCTTCCCAGACATGACCGAAAAAAAGTTCATGAAGGATGGTATAAAGCGAGGACCTGCTATGAAACTTGAAAAATAAGCTAAGATATTAAAAGAGAGAACGAGAGCTTTTGAAAAAGGCAAAATTGAATATTTTTGGCTCTTTCCATGTGGAGAATGGTCTCTTCAGCATTTCATATCCTGGTCAACTAATCTGTTTAGGTCTACTGAAAGAAACGAGACACATACAGTATTTTACAATACGTTATATATTTTTTGTGATGATCCAATGGCCTCGCAGGAGATCCTCGAAGTTGTTAGAAATCTTTTACTTAATAAAAAGGTATGTATTTTTCATTTTACAGGCTCAAACACGCATTTTTAGATATGAGTATGTTAAGCATAAGAAGCTTTCGCTTGGGGATGTATAAGCCTTCAGTTATTGTAGTACTTTAGTATATTCATTTTATTAGATGTTATGAGATTATTTAGCGATATTTTTTGACAAAGGTCTACTGTTTCTGGAGGAGGATTCAGTTATGTACCTTCCTTTTGATAAAAATATACTGAGTAATATTCCATATTTTAGGCATATTATGTGGTTATTACTTCTGGTATCACCATTCTAAAAATATTTATTTTTATTTCATTATCTCCCAATGATGATACTTATTACTGAGGAGGTTCGATTTATCTATTTTTTATATAGGTCAATAGAAAAAAAGGTTGCAAACCTTTAGCCAATATTTCTAACTTACAGAAAGAGGTGGTAAAGAAGCCGCTCCCTTCAAAATCAGATTTGTTAGTCTCTTCCGCTCCTGTTGCTAAAAAATGAAGTATTAGTAAAGTTTTAGATATTTCTGCAGATATTCTATTACGAAATGATAGATCTATAGATATTTTAGAAATTTTAAAGACTGCAGTATATGACTTTGACTAAGGTATAATATTACTAGGTTCCTCCCGCTCATACAAAAGTTCTAATCATTTGTATGTAAATTTCGAGCATTATATTAAAGTTTCAAGAGAAAGTATATATAATGCTGAAATGTATCGGGTCCTAGTGAATTGGTTAAGAAAAATCCATGGATATGAGATCACTGGTCAGTGGCATCTCGAACAAGTTTGTAATGATGGGAACTACCATCACCTTTATTGCGATCTAACTATAAAGAAGCCTGATAGTTCCCATCTGGAAGCTCTTCTCGAACTATTGGCGACAGCATCAATTCCCAAGTTAAATGGCTATTTCAAACAGGTATTTAAGTATAAAGAGCAACTTTATCCTCAAGAGATCTGAATCATGCATTTCTCCCGTAAAGATTTTATTGTATCTAACCCATATTGGCTATGCGAAAAGCTTCAGAAAAGAGATTAAATGTCGTTCACTTCTGGCACGATAAGGAATTTAAAAATATGAGGATGAGTGTCAGATTTCGGGATACCACTAGTCAGTACTGCAAAATTATAGATGAAATAATTCTTTAGCTTTAGAATCATAGATGTATTTTATTTTTTGTATTATAATAAACTGACTCTGGTGGTCTATTTCACAAATGTATTAGATAATATTTTTTTTGAATATAAAGCATAAATAATACTACATTACGCAAGCATGCAATCTAAAATAAATGATCCCAGCGAGATCGATTCATTAAAACAATGTATTATCGAACTTGAGGTTGAGAACAATAAAATCAAGGCCGAGAATGTTAAGCTTAAAGCTAGAGTTGCGAAATTGGAAGACAAGCAATCACAAAATGAATTAATAAAAAACTTGTTATCTGTATCATGAAAAACATGACTATGTATTAATTTGGCGAAATTTCTTCAGCGCTGAAACACCACTGCCAAATGATTTTTTCTCATTGACTATTAGCCAGGTGTCATGTGCATTTTTGATCAAAGTTTTCTAGCAGATATTGACGTGTATAACTATATTCTTGTAAATTTCTGAATGTGTAAAATTCTCAAAATTTTTCTTATAAAATTTCTGAATCCATAAATTTCTCAAAATTTTTTTATTAGTTACCTATAGTAACAATGACTGGTATACTAACACCATCTTTTCACGTATATTACTCAAAGCAACTTAACCAGCTTTCTCGTTCCATTAAAAATAGATACATGGTGACGTCTTACAACACGAAAGCATCCATTATCGATAAAACAGGCAAGTAGTATCCATCCTGAAGTGGAAGATTTGTTAAATAAGGCGGTTGGAAATTATATTAAGCAAAAAGAGCGTCAAAAGATGAAGCCTATTACTAGCAACTGTGAAACTTCGTTAAGACGAGAAAATGAGGAGTTGTGTATATCAAAACAAGTATTGGAAAAAAAGATTGAAGAACTTCTTGACTTGCAAGAGCAGTATAAGTCTCGTGAGGTAGCCATGACTAGGTCTTTGAAGGAGAGTGGCGGGAAAGTCACCCAATTATCTGATTCAGTAGCTTTCTTCAAAAGTATAATTCCTGATACGAAAAAAGCTATTGCATCAGCTGAAAAGTCCATTGACCTGTTAGAGAATAGATGCCGGAATCTGGAGGATATTATTTCTGTTAAAGATAGAAAAATTGTCGCTCTTGTTGATCAGATCCTTTCCAATACGAAGCATAGTGATGTAACTATAGAATCGGAAATATATTCTAGTACTCATGAAAGGAAATTATGGGCGAAGAGGCGTGATGAATCTGAATATGATCTAGAAACCAGGAAAAAATATACATTTCGTCCTTAGTACCTAAGAAAATTCTACTCATTAGTGAGAGGTACATCCCAGCCAATACGTATCCTATGTGGATGCTCTCGAGGTACAGTTAGATCGAAAACAATGAATTTATGTTCACATAAAGCCTTGTCAATAATCTTAATCACACTACGCCAGTCATTAGCATATTGACGCACGATTCTGCTAAGCTCGTCCGCAGTACACGATCCATTAAATAGACAGACGTGTGTGAGATTTTTTCGTATTATCTTTGGACAGTCGAAGTAACTCTAGGATACATATATCGAACTGACATTGTAATGGCGTCCTTCAATAAAATAAGGAATAATTTTCTTTTGCACTTCCTTTGGATCAGCACATACATCTTCGAATATAGCCACCGTACCACTTTTTGGAGAAAATGAATCCACCTTAGAAATCTTATTAGGCTTCAAAGCCCGGAATGTGATATTTTCACGATATGGCCTCGGACTATTGGCAATTATCTGGAATGCTGATTCGAGGTACATATATTTTGGCTCCTCGAGTTGGTGGCCGATGAGTAGTAACTCATCACACTTGATATAGCGTGTCCCTCCTTTCTTTCCATTAAACATTCGATAAAGCTTATTTCCGAGCATGAGATTGAGAACCTCATTAGTTTTCCCTGAATTGGTACGGCCACAGATTAGTAAAGTGAAAGGCCATTGGGGAACACTTGAATGCCCATTATATCTTTTGGCATCTGTAATTTCATTAATATGGTATACAAGCCTATCAACTGGCTCAAGTTTCTTTATTTTCATGTCAAAGTATTACTAATGATATTCTAAAATAATCTTACAAATTTGCAGGACCGGAAAAATGCCAAGAAAATAATACTCTCTGACCTAACTGGAAGAACTATTCAAGAACCCTTTCTCGATTAGAGTATGTCTAATATACGGATATAAATCCGCTGTATGAGGTACTTCAATAAGGCATATACCTTGGTCCTTGCAGATGTCCCGCTTCTTCTGATCACGAATCTTTTGTATTTCTAAAGTTTCATTCTCCCGACTGGCTATCATCCTAACCCCAAATCATTAAGAGATGCATGTAAAAAAGAGGGCCATCGATTCCGCCTAAGTGAATGCAAAAATTTTTTAGAAGATCAAGAGTCATACCAAACTAATAAAACCTCTCTGAAATACATTCCTAGAGTCAGTTATGGGCGAATAACACGCCCAAATTGTGTACACCAGTGCGATATACTTTTTCTCACTCATGATCACTATAAAGGTAAAAAATATAAAGCACTACTTAACATTATAGACTGCGCCTCCCGATATAAAGCTTCTGTTCCACTCACATCGAAGAATAGCTCAGAAGTTGCTAAGGCATTTAGGAAAGTATATGG